GCTAAAATGGAGTAAGGATCTTGAGGATGATATTGAAGACCAAAAGAAGTCAACTTGAAACAATTCACAAGCAAATTGAAGACTAATGGAGCGTGCTTTAGCACCCTACAATGAGCTCATAAAGCAAGAATGACCAAAATTCTTTGTACGAACGCGCTGAAGCGCTCAACAGCATGCTAAAGCGCCTCATATGAGCAAATTTCCCTTCAAAGAGCGCGCTCAGGAAAAAGAATTAAGGTAATTTAGCGCGCTAAAACGCGTCAATGAGCACTAAAGTGTGCTGACACGGTCCAACCCAGGACCAAAATTCTTAATCACTTAGGGCAAGGACTAATTACCTATAAGTATGGGATTTCAACACAGATTAAGGAGCTTTTGACACGGATTGCATGAACCTCGAATTAACAAATTCATCATAATCCTTGTGATCTAGGGATAGACATAGGATAATTGTGAAATGTTATGATTCTTGATCGTAATGCATGTCATCTTAAGGAATAACTAGGGAATCAGGGTTCTTTCAAGATTGCGTAGAATTAGGGTAACAAGGGATTGAGCTCTAATAAATTTAGAAAGAATTGATTGGCAATATATTAAGGACGAAATCTTAACTTTTTAATTCATAACATATAAAGGATATCGGAGAAAATCGAAACTCTGAGTGCGCTTGTCTCAATTGTCAAAAACCAAACTTTTCTTAAATTCTTGTTTTAATTATGTAATTTTATGCTCTTGCTTGTTCTTAATTTCAATTCTACTTTTCTTCGTAATTGTTTGTTCAAATAAATTGCGAGTAGTGAACTAATGCTTGAATTTTGATTTTCATGAGAACAATCTCGTACTCACTTACATTTTTTTACCAATATACTTGCCGAAATCGCAACAGTGACAAATTTTGAAGTATATATTTTGTTATAGTACATGTCTAACAAAAGTTATATTACAACATAAGAGTGCTATTTACAGAACACCTGTTCTCCAAATTCGTACTCATTGCTGCTAGTAGGATAAGTAGAGCACATATTTTCTTTTGTTTTGTACCAATTGCAACTTGGATAAGGAGAGCACAGATTTTCACGTGTTTGTTTTAACCCTTATCCCCACTCCTTTAAGTTGCTGGCTGTTTTTATGATTTTGTTCTGATAATTACATAATGGTTAGTTAAATTTGTGAATCTGTTAATGTTTTATAAATTTTCGATGGGGCATGATATATTTACAAATTTTTTTGTTTACAAACTACATTAAGTACGACCGGTCATACTTTAATCATGCAGTGTACGACCGATCGTACTTAGTGTAATTTGCAAAAAAGTTTGTAAATGGATACTATCCCATTTCCGATACTCTGGATGCTTGAAACTAACACCATTTAATGGAGGCCATCATTTTGACATTACTACTTCTGATGCTTCCTCATCAAATCTGAATGATATTTTTTTGTCCATGCAAATTGCAAAGCCTACTTGTTAGCTGTAATTCATCTCGGCCATATACATGGAAATGTACATAGATATAAATTCATCATAATGCAATAAATTAAGGGAAGTATATTCAGGGGTCAACAATTACTTATTGGTTATATGTATTATACTGAAGTAGTTTAGCATCTTCAATTATACACTCAGCACATGGGTTCTAAGTGATATAGACTTAAGTAAAAATATTCGTTGCAAGTGTCTTGGTCATTTAGAAGCAAGATGTATTTTGCTGTGAAACTACCTTCAATCACGCCTGATTATTGTTTTGCACTTCAGTCAAAACCATTCAATTGGTAGAAAGTGTACAAGTGTGAGAAGAGAGTCAATGAAAGCCAAGCCCCCTTGATTAAAGGTGCCTTTCAATTTCATTGATAAAATACCAGCTTGATGAACAATTCATTCATTACTTTAGACAATTCATTCATTCAATCACGTATAATTTGGGGAACAGTCACCAAAGTGTCACGTTTGGACAAAAAAATTACTAGACTTCCATGCCAACAGGAAATTTTGCCAAAATACCACGCGGCGTAATTCGCTATACAGTGTAGCAAATTATGTATGCAAGTAATTCGCTACACAGTGTAACAAAATATGTCACGTCAGAACGCACAGAACCAAAAATGCCACATGTCAAATTTTGCAAAATTCGCTTTAGCGAATTTTGCAAAATTTGACATGTGGCATTTTTGGCTCTGAAGTGGCATATTTCGCTACACTGTGTAGCGAATTACTTGCATACATTATTCGCTATACTGTGTAGTGAATTATGACGCGTGATATTTTGACAAAATTTACTGTTGACATAACATTCTGATAATTTTTTTGTCAAAACATGACAAAAGGGTCACTCTCCCTATAATTTGGTGTTTTTTTAGGCCTGATGTCAAAAGTCATTTGTACAAATTAGTCAATAATTTTCTAAACTTCTGAACCACGTTCCTGCCCATATTACTCCTTTCAAGAACTCCTTTAGATGCCAAGCTTCTAAGCTCCAAAGCACACTTCCCCAATCTATCTATTTTTCTCTGCTTTGTTATAGGTATGTCTCTAGGTGTCACAATCAATGTACACTTTATTTACAGGGACTGTTAAGGTCCCAAGGTACACCCTCACTGTAGCAAAAGACTAGGCTAGTTAACATTACATCCATCACCGCCACAGTCTGTGCCTCAACTAACTCCTAGTGAAAATTTATTAAAAAAAAAAGTAATTAGTTTCTCAGAAATATATTTTTCCAAACTTGAGACAAATTGGTAATTTTGTCTTAGTAAAGTAATTAGAGCATTTTTCACTTGTAATAAAGTAATTAGTCTTAATTACTAATTATTTCAAATTAAAACTAAAATAACTGGGCCAAAAAAAAAAAAAAAAACTAGTCTTCAGTTTCAGTGTACCATTTTGGGCCATCCTTTTGGTGCTTTGGGCCTTGTTTGAGTTTCAAAGCTTTAGATCATATTCAGGATAAATACAAATTGCACTCCTAAATTTTAATTTATTTTCTTGTTAGGTGCACGAAGTTTATTTTAAACACATAATTGTTATTTTGATAAGCTCTAAAATTGGGAAAATTTTAAGGTGCATTTATCGCATTAAACTCATGCAACATAATACATTTTTATTAGAATACTTAGCTAGATTCTGAGATCTTAAAAATTTGTGCCTATTTATCATAATAAAAATGCATTATTGCGCACTGAACTTCAGTGCAGCAGATGCATCCAAAATTTGTTCCTAAAATTGTGGAGTGAAATTTTTCGTAGTCAATGATCAATACCAGTAAACAAATCCTCAAATTAACCATTTTGCAATTTCCTTATTCATCCACAAAATATTTTGTTTTTCTTGAATTGCAGTAACAATCAAAACACATAACAAGTGATTGGTTCTGTTATCAAAAAAAAAAAAAACAAGTGATTGGTTCCCTTGGCATTTTTTTTTTTCCATATCCCCTCACGCCTAAGAGTTCTTTAGGTTTGAAGTGTAGATATTATATAGTCATATTTTTTTAGTTCTACTTTGTATTTATTAAATTCCACTAAAAAATGAAGGCAATGGAAATCGAACTTGTGACTCTATTATCATGGACCATCATGTTAAGCAACGGTTCAACTCAACAGTTTAAGTTTGTAAGGGAAGGACCTTCAATGATTTTATATTATATTTCTCTAACGTCATCAAAGATGCAGTTTCATATATTTTTAGTATCCAACTCATACTAAATTATTAAATCTATTTTTTTTCCATCTGTAAAAATACTATGTTTGAAATCATTACAAAACAACATACTTATCAAAAAATTAATTAAATCATGATAAAATATACAATTAAAATTTTATAAATCAAATTTCCTATTTAGAATACATTAAATATAATTAATTTTTGTTTGAAGCCTTACCTAAATAATAACAACAAAGTAAGTGATAAAAATTAAGATCAAATAAGGTTTATAACAACAAGAAGCATTTTAAAATCAAATCCTTTCATATCTTGTATCTTAAAAAAAAAAATTGATGAATTAAATTTATTGTCAATTTTTGTGATTCTAAACAAACTTTTAAAAGAAAAACATTCATATATGATAAATTACCAACCAACAAGTTACAATATATATTACAGTTTAGTATAGTATGATATTAATGTGAGATTCAATAATCTACTAAAAAAATTTCTTCTTTACTTGGCAAATAGACCTCTTAAATAATAAATAAATAAATACAAATATATATAATCAATATTTTGAACATTTATTAAAAATTATCTATAAAATATTACTTGATATTAATTTAATTGAAATTTAATTATAATAATTATATTTAACTCAGATTTGATTACATCAAAATTATGTTTAATCAAAATTTGATTTTAGTTACCTTATTCTTGAATTATAAATAGTACTCCTTCAATCTCTTTGTATAATACAAACATTTGATATCAATTAATTACATTATTTTCTCTTTATTTCTCTCATTATTTATTATTATTCTCATAATTTTTTGCAAGTAGTTATTATTCTCATAATTAATAACTAATTAATTGTACCTTACAGTTATTGTTTCCACCAATGGAGATCCACTTGGTAATTAAAACAAATAAATAATAACATTCATTCTATTGTATAATATGGGGTACCAAAATAATATATATATATAAAAAATCATTTTATTCCTTTAATGTTCCAATGGTACAGTTCATAAATCATAACCTTTGAACTGTAAAAGAACACAATTTTCTGTACCCAGCTCATGTAAAATACAGAATATCCAGATAGGTATTGTTTTAGGATCAATTTAAGTATCTCTTTTGAGACCACAATCAAGCTTCATGGATGCTCTCTTTCCCTCTCTCTCACTCTATAGAAAGTCAATATTTCAATAGAGACTGCTAGCAGCCTAGCACACACACACACACAGACAAATCAGCATTCAACATTCTGTTTAATCTCTCCCTTCTCTGAATTCCTATTTATCCAATTTGCAACACCAATCCTTCCAATCTCATTCTTTGCCATATCATAACCATGAAGATTAAGGAGCAACAAGCCACACGTGCATCATCATATCTGAAGCTCTTCAATCCTCAACTCTATCTTTTGAACTTCTTCTCTCATGTTTTAGTCTTTGGTTGTGGTTTACTCATTGGTATTACTCTCACTTTCTGTCTCAAGAACATCTCCTTCAACTTTCAAATCCAAAAATTACCCTTTCAATCCCTTAGTCTCAAACCATCCTTGGCACCTTTTTCTCCCTTTCCACCACCACCACCTCCTCCAATCCCATCCATTAGTTTAATATCAAATAACCAAACAAAACTTTCTCCACACATCAATATTAAGAAAATAGTGATCACCAACATCACCAGAAAAGGATTGAAGGACTTCTTGGAGCCTCCAATGGCTATGCATGATATGAGTGAGGAAGAGTTGTTGTGGAGAGCCTCAATGGTTCCAATGATTAAAAAGCTCCCATTCAAACAGACACCGAAGGTTGCATTCATGTTCTTGACAAAAGGTCCTGTGCTATTGGCTCCACTTTGGGAGAGATTCTTCAAAGGAAATGAAGGGTTGTATTCTGTTTATGTCCATTACCCTCCTTCTTTCAATGAAACAGTGCCTGAAAGCTCTGTGTTTCATGGCCGTGGTGTCCCCAGCAAGGTTAGTATTATATATGTCACTTTATCTCTTCATCAAATATATAATCATTGTTGGCATGCAACTTTTTTTTGTCCCTTTTTTATATTTTTGATTTCCCTTCTTATCATTTCATTAAGAGAAATCTGAATTTTAGTGTTTTGGGGTGATCTCTGATCTGTTATTGAGCTTTAAAATTAACCAAATGAAGTTAAGAAAATCAATGATTCATACTCATGGAGTAAATTCATAATACATATATATATGTGTGTTATAGGTATTTGTTGTCTGCTAATATTTATTGCATAGTTTCCAATTTCATTTACCTTTCGGGATTCCATTGATACTTTTGATTGACTCATTCACTGTACAATTCTCCTCTCATTATACATGTCACATCAATTGCTTTCAATTAAGGACGGCCAAACTTATAAAATACAGAAGGCCATGGGCTGCGACCTTAGTATTTAATATTTATATGACTATATTAAATTAATTTTTAAGATAAAACAATAATCTTATTTGTATAATGTACATTTCAAATTAATATATCAATCCTCCTTCCTACACGACGGATCCCAGAAACTGATTCCTTTTTTTTTTTTTTGGGGACACATAGAAACTAAGTTGATTATGATTATGAAGTCAAACACGAAAGGTCTCTTAAGCAGCCTTATTTAATGATTATTTCAACGGTTTTCTAGATTTCATGTGATGTGTGTCCACATTAAAATGTACATTAAATATTCTCAGATTAATATTAGGAAAAATATTTTTTCATATTATAGAAGAATTATTTTTTTTATGACTATTCGATTTTCGTGTAATTTTTTTTTTCTGTTTTTATTTTTAATAGATGTGAATCCTATACAAAATATACCAGGGATATGATTCGTTTATAATTTTTTTTTTTGCAAATTATACTATGTACGACCGGTCGTACACTGCATGATTAAAGTATGACCGGTCGTACTTAGTGTAATTTGTAAGAATTTGTAAATAAAAAAATTTGTAAATATAACCTACTCTAATATATAATATAGAAAATTTTCTCATACTACCTGAAAAAAATTAAAACCCTTAATATTAACATGTTCTTAGATTCTATTTCAATGTAAATTGTACATTGAATATTCTCTGTCTCTCTCTCTACACATAATATTACTGGTACACTACTACCAGTGTATAGTTGATTTTTTTAGGAGTCTAACCGTATCTTTCTACTCTAAAATATTTTGCTTCGTAATTCCTGCCACAATATATTATTGTAAAGAATTTTATAAGAAACTGCAAACGTTGAAACGCCTGTCTGCACATGAACCTGAACCAGTTGCCACTTTTTGTCATGCATGTGTAAAGTTTCTAGCGTTGAGAATTTTCTTAATAAAATATAAACATTATTAAGAATTTTCTGGAACATCCTTTTATTGGCTTTATTTTCGGGGTTATCTTCATGTCAACTCACGAAGATTGCTTGTAAAATGAGGTTTGATGAAAGATCCAATAATCAGACCCCTGCTAAAAAGGGCTGCATTAGAATACTCCCAATACCTTGATGTCATCTATTCAGAATGAGAAAATTTATGTTTTCATCACTGCAATTATTTTACTAAAATGAACTGCAATGTTTTTCTTAATAATCTTACACAATTCCTAATTTTTTGTGGGTACTTGGTCATTCATTTGCCCCTTGTTTTTGGGACAATCAAATTTTGATTGTCCCTCCTCCAGAATGAGAGTTTACATTATCATTATTTTTTTTATTAAAAGTTGAATAAAGTCCTTTGTAACCAATATACCATGGAGTTTAAGTAAAAAAAACTGAACTACTAGGTCCGGTGAATCTATAGAATGTCCAATTTTTTATTTTTTTTTCATATTCTTTTGGGTTGCTTCCGGAACTGGGCTGTTAAAGCAAAGTGATCATACTTTTCTATTATTTCACTCGTTTTGCAACTCCAAGAATATTCTATTCTTCTCCATTTCCAAGCTCACTTTCCTACACCCCATAAAACTTTTCATAATTCCTTTCTTCATTTACTTTGTCTCTGGCATGCATAAACGAATCAAAAGACAAAATAAAGCATCTTTTTGCTATTTGTTTATGTTGAGCTAGCACGCGCATATTAAGTTGAAAATCTTTTTAGCATACAATGTATATATTTAATTTATGGGGAAAATACTTCTGTTGTTGCTGCATAAGTATTTTCCCATACAGCAGACTCGAAATAATGTTTTGTTTAAGCTTTTTTTTTAAAAAATTTAACATGGTGGACCCCACCTTTTTTTTTCTCTCGGGAGAAGTTGCAAAACCCTTAATTTATACACTATACTAATAAGAGTATACATTAATGTGATATTTGAAAGGATCCAAATAATAAAAAAAAAGTTAAACCAGCTAAGATTTTCAAATAATTTTCCATACAGTACAATGGTGTCAATTAAAGAATTGTTGCTACACCACGAGCAACTAATTAAGACTTATCTTCTTAGTGGTGTAATCATAGAATTGGTCATGCCATATGGTCCAACTATAACACATTTTATGTCCTTGTACATGAACCTTATAACAGAGTATTCTTAATTAAATTTTCTGTGGTAATTAACATGCAGGAGGTAAAGTGGGGTGAGAATAGCATGATAGAGGCAGAGAGACGTTTACTAGCCAATGCACTGCTTGATTTCTCAAACCAACGTTTTGTACTACTCTCAGAGTCATGCATTCCTTTGTTTAATTTCTCCACCATCTACACTTATCTAATGAACTCAACCAAGACTTTTGTGGAAGCCTATGACCTACCAGGTGATGTGGGGCGTGGAAGATACAGCCCCAAAATGAGGCCACAGGTTAAGCTTTCTCAATGGAGAAAAGGGTCCCAATGGTTTCAGATAGACCGTGCACTTGCCATTGGAATAGTCTCTGATAGGCAATATTTTCCTGTGTTCAAGAAGTATTGCAACCCTGAATGCTATAGTGATGAGCACTACTTGCCCACATTGGTTAGTATCAAATATTGGAAGAGGAACTCTAATAGAACTTTGACATGGGTTGATTGGTCAAGGGGTGGACCTCATCCATCAAGGTATATTAGACCACATGTGACCTTTGATTTTTTGGACAAATTAAGGTATGGAAGCTCATGTGAATACAATGGACAGAGCACCAATGTTTGTCATTTGTTTGCAAGAAAATTCACACCTCATGCTTTGGATAGATTGCTGAGATTTGCTCCAAAGATAATGCAATTCAATTGATTTGCCTTTGCACATTCTTTCTTTTTGATTAATTGATCATGTTCATTTATCTATTATTTTTTAATTTTGGTTGAACATTGTATTCATTTATATATAAATTAAATTCAAGGGCACCAAGAATTTGTTCCTTTCTTTTCCCTATTTTTTAGCCTTTTTTTACATTTCTTTGAAGGCTTATTACTCTTCTCGCAAAATTTATATTTTGATTCTCACTAATATAATCATTAATTCTCAATTTGGTGATTATATCTTGTAATACAGTGAAAATGATAGGAGAGACATGATTTTCTTATCCACTTTTCGGCATTTTGTCTTATCCTTAAGGGGGCGTTTGGTTCAGGTTTTTCATTTGGTTTCCCATCTATCTTGAATTGGCATTCCATGATTGCATTGTTTTGTAGAAGGAATAAAATTTTTTAGCTATGCTTCTCTTTTTCCTAGCCTTTGACAAACATGCAAAAAGGAAAGCAAATCACTATTTGGACTTTACCACTTCGTATGTGGTATTCCTAGAAAACTAGCTAAATCGCAAAAAGGTGAACGAAGAGCTTACCATATGACTCTCTTCTAAGTACACATGTCTACATCTCTGGTAAAATTAAGGGTTATTTTTGGTATTTCAACAAATTTATCCATTATTATTTTACCTTCAACCAAACAAAGACTCACAAAATTTAATCCAATTTTCCTGATAAATTTTTTGCCAACCAAACAACTTTTTTTAGCTTTCCTACCAAACTCACTTTCCTACCATATTGTCTGGTAAAAAAAAAATCTTCTCTACCAAACGCCCCCTAACCTTTTCCTAAGGGGACTTGAGTTAGGATTTGACAACATAGGATACAAATTTTTTCTCCCAAAATTAGCCCTCCGTCTCCTTCATCGCCACTAGTTATCACCATAGCCACCCGCCAACACCATCATCATTGCTGCTATCATCACCTGTCACCAATAGAGTCGGCAAAGGTCCAATAAGAGGCCCTTATAGATGATATCCCATAATGCGCATTGGAGCCTCGTCATAGGAGATTCCCCTCTCCTTGCACAACTCACTATCATACACCAAGATGGTTGGGCAATGCCTCACTACAATAGTGGAGGCAATAACTAACAAATTTTGCTTACTTTTTTTCGATCTCTCATCATTAGAAATATGCATTCACCTATATAAACCCCTCCTCTCCAAGAGAGGAGATACTTGATTTCTATAACATTTTTTCTGACATTTATGAGTTGTTAGTCTATTGGATTTTAGAGTCATTGTAGCCTACACTCCACCTCCTCTTCGTAGCCCTCACTGCGAAAGCACTAGCAGTAATCATCCCTGAGTCTTGGTACATATTATTACCTCTTTGACAACCTCCATATCGACATACTATACCCTCAGAAGGATACAGATCTAGCTCTAAATCCATAACAATTCACTTAGTTTAAATCATAAATTAATAATATAAATGAAATATTATAAATTTTTATATTCTTTTTTATATAATTTTTTGAATAATTAATTAAAATTAATAAAAAAAATTAAAAATTAAAAATAAAAGATTCCTTAATATTTGTAATAATATTCATTCAACATTTTAATTATTATAATTTATTTTATATTATCTTTGAAACTGTAGAACATGAAATAAAAATTTTAGATGTGGTTTTAAAATCGACAATAAAAGTGTTTAAAATTTTATTTTATCATCTAAACTCCTAAAATCAATAATAGAGTGTTTAACTTGTTGTTAATAATATTAAAAGTTGCAGAGAGAGAAAAAGAAGGTATTTAAAATGTTCGATATCTTTCATTGTTAAGAAATTGGTTTACATTAAAATAGATCAAAATATAACATATTTTTGCTTTAAAGAAAATTAAGTATAATTTTTAAAATTAAAATAAAAAATATTATTTAAGTGTCTTTTATTAGAGGAAAATATAATTTCCTTATTAATGGCTCACCTCTCGTGGCACGTAGAATAAATATTTTTCTAAATAAAACATTAACTGCTCTTTGCAGACATCATTCTCCAATATGTAAATTAAAATATATGTGAGATTTCAAAATTTGAGAAAGAAGTGCACGTAGTAGAGGAGAAAATAGTTAAAATATTTTAGGTTTAAATCAATTTTTGGTTTTCTTAAGTTTCAATTATTTTAATTTTAATTCTTAAAAATGTTTACATTTTTACCAATTTAAATTTTGATTCACGTTATTAAAAAATAGTCCTTGTATGTTTTATTTATTGAAAATAATTTAAAAAATATTCACTTAATAAAATATTCATCTTTATTTTTTATGAATAATTAGTTTTTATATTTTCTCTATAACAATGATAATGTTATTTAAATTAATATATTTTTATTAATTAATATATTTTAGAGTCAAATGTCAATTCCTTTGCATTAGTCATATTTGAGTCGAATCAAGGTTGTATCTAGATATGAAAAATATCATCGTATTTCATTTGACTTTAATTAATACTATTTATCTAATTATTAATCTTGCCATATTTTATTACCAAAAAAAAATCTTGCCATATTTTATCACTTCCAATGTTTACTATTGTATTATAAATTTGACTTTCATAGTACTTATCGAACCGATATTTATATTTTAATGGCCAAATTTAAAATGCTTGATACTAGCTAACTCAACAACCAAAACGCTTGACACTACCAAACTATTTAACTCTTATACTGGATTGACTTTTTTTGGAGAAATATTACGGGTTGACTTTTTTAAAAAATATTATGGATTGACTTTGACTGTAGTTGCCTTTTCAAATTAACTCTATAGCTAATAAGCCATAAACAAAATAACCTAGATTATAAATCAAAATCAAAATAAAAACCCATTGAGTGTATTTCAATTGGCAACACATGATAAATTGACGGGGAGAGAACCTGGTTTAATTACCACCAGAGTTTTTAATGTGATTAAGCTCGGGCTAAGAGGCGACTCACTGTAAACAGTGGTGGAGCCACATACTTTTTGGGTGTGGCTTCGACTCTGGTAAAATTTTAATAAATTATACTTATTATATATAATTATATAATTAATTATAATTTAGTTTTGGTTAAAATTATAATTTGGTCCGAGCTACAATTTATAATTTGGCCATATCTAAAACTTAAAATATTTTTGGTAAGAGATTTAGGTAAATTGTATTAGGTTATGTGTTCAATTTTTATTTGTATAATTTTTTTTAATAAAATTAAAAAAAGTAATAAAATTGTAATTTTTCTTGGTACTGTCTGCTCAGGTGCTCTGTATTTAATATAATTTAAATGAGGAGAGCTATATTTACAAACTTTTTGTTTACAAACTACACTATGTACTCCCAGAAAAGTTACTACACTATGTACTTCCGGGAGTATATAGTATAATTTGCAAAAAAATTTAAAAAATGTTTGTAAACAGATCCTTTCCCAATTTAAATATATTATGATATGAACTAATTAAAATTAAGAAAAATAAATACACATATAATTTTTTGGCCCGGACTCAAATTTGAGACCGGCTCCGCCACTGACTGTAAAGAGATAATTAAGGTTGATATACTAAAAAAAATTATAATAAAATGACTTAAAATAAAAATGTACAAAAAATTGAAATAAATAAGAGTCTTCAAGACTCAAGCGTCTATAACCAAATATCAATGAAATTAAAGCAAAGTACATAATGTCATTGTCTAGAAATAGACGCGAAAAATTCATAAAATTAACAATCGAAAGAAAATGACTAAATGAATTGGAGCTTATGACTTATGTAATTTTAGTCAAGTTTGAAACCATCAATTTATTTTTTTTATTTTTGTTTGATAAAATCAACTCAGTTGTTTTTTCTACATAAGATTTTATTAAGAAAGATAGTTTTCAATGTAAATACTAAAGTAGTGAAAAAAAGTGGTAAATTGGTTAAATAAATGAGTATACCAATTTATAGCCATTTAAATAAAATTAATTGTAACTTTACCTTTGGTTAATCTTACTCGGTAGATTGTAAAAAATTAATTTAATCCAATGCTAACAAATTTTACAACATTTAATTATTTATTAATAAAATTGGAGTAACGAGGATTGAACTTGCAATCACTTGATCAAGAAACTTTGAATCTTTGATAATGTAAATTAAGAACCAATTCATTTACCAAAAAAATAAAATTATGAACCAATTCAACTTAAAAATCTAAGTAGTTAAATGAAAATCATTACAATAATTTTATATCATATTTCTCTAACACATATTATAACATAAACTCTTCTCACTATTAATATCAAACTAATAAAAACATACTTTAGTTGATTCAAAATTGAAAAGCATATGCGGGTAGTAGAACTTTCAATATATTTACCTTACAAGTTTAAGTTTTGTTATAAGGTGAACAATAAAATTCTCAGCTCAATTTTCTGATCAACAATTATATACGAAAATCAATTGAAAAGTCAAACTAATGTGAATCAAAGACATTTATGGAGCTATTAGGAATATTTTCTAAAGACTCTGTTTCGATCTGATAAATCGGGATGTCCAACTTAATAGTTAGTAATGTTTATGTTGGATCCATGTACCCTTTATCAGGTACTTATGAATGAGATATCTTTGATTGTAGGCAGATTATTGTGCACAATAATAAACGATATAGTCAAGGCGTAGGGTGTGCGCACGGTAACAGCTAGGAGAGAGGGTTTTGAATATGTGTACCTTATTGATTTAACCTCTTATTTATAGATGGGTTACCTGGTAAGAGTAGACTTTTGGACCTCTTAAGAATATTGGGGGTCCAACTCTTGATCCATTATTGTAGTATTATGATTAGTACATTTAAGGAATTTTTCCTTAATTCCCTCTTAGCTGTTAGCCCTTATTGGGCCTTCTATAATGTGGGGCCTTTGTCAGGTCCGTAACATTTACTCCCCCAGCTTGGTAGTCTGGTTATCCAGGCTACTGGGGTGTATATTATGTCAGACTTTAGTTCTATCTGATAGGTATATCTGGGTCACTGTG